GGTGGCAAAGAGGCTGCTTCTTTGTAGCTCTTTCGTACCAGCAGTTAGAGTGTGTGCGATCAGAGGAGGCTTCAAATTGCCTGGTAAGGTAAGGTGCTGCTTTCTATTTTTAAAAAACTGTTCTGGGTGGGTTTTGCAGTGTGGTTTTGGGCTGGGTGGTGGGATTATGTTTCTATGCTGTGATGGGTCTTGCAGGGTCCCCCCCATTTCCGATGGGTCTTGCAGAGTTTGTTTGCTTATTGCTTTGCCTTTTTTGCATTTCCAAAGTGTCCACCAGGGTTTGTTTGCTTTTCTTTTTTTGCATTTCCGAAGGGTCTTGCATTGTTTGTTTGCTTTTCTTCCCCCCCCCTTCAGCCGGAATGGATTAATTGCATTTCCAATGGGTCTTGCAGTGTTTTTTTTGTGGGGTTTTCTGCTGATTTTTTCTTTCGGCCTTTTTGTGGGGTTTTCTGCTGATTTTTTCTGATAATTGCATCTCAATGCATTCCTATGGGAAATGGTGCTTCGACTTACGACCATTTTGTGTTATGACTGGAGACCCAGAACCAATTAAGTTCGTATGTCGAGGCACCACTGTACTTGTGTAATTCTTTTTAAGTATAACCAACAAACCAACCAACATATAGAGCAGCGAGGAATGGATCAGGCTTGGTTGCCAAAAAAAGGCCTCTCTTGAAAGAGCGTTTCCAAAGATCTTTTAAAGGTTCAGAGGGAGGGGGCCCGGAGCAGTTCCATGGGCAGCTGATTCCATGGCATTGAAGCCCTTGTGGAGGATTTCTTGGCCTCCAGGCTACCTGGAGAATCATGACCTAGGAGGACCTAGTGGGTCAGGTGGATGACGTTAGGAAACAATGCACTGACAGGAAACATGGTCTCAAACTGTGAAGGGAATATAAACCTCCCTAGCTCTTAAGATCTTCAGGGGACACCCTTTCCTCCACCTCAGATCCCTTGTATGCACATCTGGTGAGGCCACAAGAGAGGGCCTTCTCAGTGACTGTTCCCAGGTTGAGAAATGTTTAATTGCTTTTAATAGTTGGCTTGTTTTTAAAATAATTTGGAAATTACCTTGGATTCCTTCACCAGCTTCCAACAATCTAAAACTATAATGTCCTCACAGACAATCATAACAGGATGATTTTGCAAAAAGAAAAGAAACATAGGCATAAGGCATAAAAGCAGTCTACCAAGCTGTCCTGTTGCTGGGAAGCAGAAACATAGACTATAAAGAACATAACTCTGTGAGTTAGGATTTTTAATCTTGTTCAATTATCCTGATATCTGTTGAGAGGCAAATTCTGCCATAGATAACCCTTCTAAGAAATTCCTGGCTTGTGTGGCTGATAATTTTCTTCTACAAAATGTAGGCTGGAATGTGACTTGTACCATGACCAGTATGAATAGTGAACTCCCAAATCAACCTGCAGGCCCTGTGTAAGCACTGACTGAAATTTGAAAGATAATAGAGGCTGCAAATCAAATTGCAGTGGAGTCGTACTCTAAATGAACCAGATCTCAATAAGTTGCTGATATACACAGCATATTTCTCTTAATTTCTGAGCTTACCAAATCCATTAATCTTTAACAAACAGGTCATTTAGACTGTAATATAATAAAAACCATAACACTCTGTTTCTGTTCTGAGGCATCTGTCATTTTGCCAATGCACATTTACTGCACGTTTACTGAACATTTGCATGCAGCCATCTTCAACAGCTTCAGAACTAATTCTGAGGAGGACGTACTCCTGAATGTCTTCTCTTTTGCATACACCCAAACACAAGGAAAGAGAAGAGCAATGAGCAAGTTTTCACTTCTTGTCCTTGCAAAACCTCTGTGCCTGGAACAGCCATTAATAATGTATTGTATTTCTAGTAAAACAGGACATTATTTAACAGATCACTGTATGCAGGATGTACATGGGTGGGATGGTTCATGCTTTTAAACTATACAAGCAGAAATCATTTTTCTGATTTTCCTGTCTGTTACTGATGTACAGATGCAGTTCACTGGCTGAATTTCTGTCTTTTATGCAGGTCTCCAAAGCACAAGAGACCGAATTGCCATCACCACCACCAGTGTTACATTTCTGCAATGGATATTTCTCCTACCTTACTTGCCACTGCAGCCTTCCCCTTTAGAGGAGGTCCGCCAATCTTTTAGATTAATGGGTGGGTGATCAGCAGGGAGGGAGGGAAATCTGGCCATGTGTTCTATTAGTTAGAGGACAGAACTGGATATAGCCTACAGCATCAGAGGTAGGGAACATGTGCCCCCCCCTTCAGATGTTGACCTGTAGCTCTCAGGAGCCCTCACCATTGGCTATGCTAGCCGTTGCTGATGGGAGTCCAATTTATTTATTTATTTATTTATTTATTTATTTGTTTGTTTGTTTGTTTGTTTGTTTGTTTGTTTGT